TGAATGCTTCACCGAGATTCAAAATCCCATCTCATCTGAGAAGGAATGTTCGGTGATCATCTAGGATCGGGATGAAGCAGGAACAGCAGCAGTAGCCGTTAGTCTCAGTTCTGGCCATAGCGTTTAAGCCGAAAAGCAGTTTGTGACGGTTCGGCAACCATAATTGGCGTCGTGAAGAGCAATTTTCGGCCTGATAGCCAACAGGCCTGGGCACATTGATCTCGACGCATCCAGCAACTCTCGTCCTCTCTTGCCTCTTTCCTCAGCACACATGCTGCTGCTTCCGGGCCACAGAACAGCACTCGTTCCTGCAAATATCATATTGTGTTGAGGCAAACGAACAGCAGCAGCAGCAGCACCGGGCAACGGCTGTGTAACAAGCCGAATTAGCAACCTATTGAGGGAGCCAGCAGCAGTAGCAGGCAGTCCTCGAAAGCCCAGGGGCAGCTTCCCCCTCTTACCTCGCCTCACTCCCTCACAACACCTCATAACGTGTGTCTTATGGTGTGTTATTCTCCTTCACTCGCATTTACTACCTCTTCTCGTAGAGCCAAGGAACTAAGCTTTAGCTTTGCGAGTAACCAGTAAAAGCTAATCTTGGAAGCACAAGACTAATCCTGTTTTTGGGTGCCCAAGACCAGCAGCAATTTGCGTATCATTCGTCTAATTCACTAGGGGCAATGGCCAGTGCTTCTTCTTCCAACACTCCATCCCTCCCACGCTGAGCCAGTTCATATTTCTAATCATGTAATACTACTGCTTCTTACTTATTGCTTTTTATCATTATGCAAACCGCTCGTTGTTGCCTCATCCCTCCCACCAGCCCTAATTTCGTGCTATTTTAGTTAGAGAAAAAAAAAGCGCAGCAACTATATCTTCCCTTGTCTATTACACCAATAATATATGCTTTTCAATTTCACTGTGTCACTAGCTGTGTTCGGTGGAAGTGAAACATGGAATACCACTCTTGCTAATGAAATGAAAACGCTAGCGATGACAATGAAACGAGCCCTGGAACGACTTAAGATAGGTATCAGTAACAGCACATTTCCAATGAAATACTGCGATTCTGGCCTGGCCTAACCAATTACGTCAAGAAGAAGAGCCGGGCTGATCAAAAGGTGA